TGTGGGGGCCAGATCGAGCCTTTGTCCCCAGGGCATAGGGCCCGAGAGGGGGCCAGAGGTGCCGGGCAAGAAGGGCTAAACGATGGAGTCAGGAAGGTGAAGAGGGAGCTAGAAGGAGGTCACTGTTTGCCCCCCATTCTGACACCGGCAAAAGGGTTCCCTGAGGAGAAGCATAGCCCCGGCTTCGGAGCCAGCCGGAAACGCCAGCTCTGCCTCAAGGCCGAACGGGAGGACTCGGAGTGGGAGGAAGCAGAAAGGGTCTTCCACCCCGAGAAAAGAGCCAGGATTTCTACAGGTGAGACTTTCTTCAACATGCAACGTCAAACACACTTTCATCTCCCTCCTTTCTTTTCATCTGCTTTCCGTGTGTCTTTCTAATTCCGCTCGTTCTTTCCCCTTCATCCCGTGCTCTGCTGAGCTGGGTCTCATCCCTTGTTCTTTTTAAGGAAATCTTTCTTTCTTTCGCTTCTTCCCAATCAATTCCACCTTAAACCCGCTCCCTCACAACCCCCGCTCTTTTCCCCCTTACCACTCTCTGTCCCATCTTTCGCTCTGTGTGGCAGCCAGCTCAGAAAAGTGTTTAATCCTGCCTTTGAGCGGAGTGCGAGGGAGAAGCGAGGAAGAGGGACAGCCATTCTCTCTCTCTTCTTTCAGCTCTCCCTATCCTCCGCTGCGCTTACCCACCCTCTTCAAAGCTGCTCTTTTCTTCTCATCTCATCTCCTTTTCTTTTTTCTCCTCATCTGTTTGGGTTTCCTTTTCCTTTTTTTTTTCTTTCTGGCACGCCGTATTGCGCTTGCTCTCCCCGGCACTGGCAGACAAGTCAAATACCCTTCCCCTGTGAATTTCAAGGGGGAGAACCCTCCCTCTGCTTCTTCAGTCTTTATTGCTTTGTTTCTCCGCCCGATTCTTGCCTTCTCTTCCTCCATTTTTCTCCGCAATCTGTCTGTTCTCCATGCCTTCCTGCATTTGTGTTTAATGTAAGGCTAATGTGGGTTTTACAAGCCATAAGAAACTAGTGATTAACGGTCTCTGTTCTGTGTGCACGGTTGTCTGCAGGTCAGTACAGTGACACCTTTAGGCAATATAGTTCCATATGAGAGAAAAAAGCTAATTCTGTGTTTTTGTTTATCTTCAGATGAGCGTGAGCAGGCCAGTCCTGATGAAGATGATGACGACGAGGTCCGGAAGCTCAAGGTCTGCATCGAGCTGAAGGGGCTGCGACTCAGCAAGCCAGCCGCCGGCGCAGCTTCCCCCGACGGCTGCCTGATCAAACAGGAGCGGCTGTGGCCCCAGCAACGATTGATCGCCCCGGTCCAGAGCATACGGGAGCGCAAAGCTAGGCCTGGGGAGCCGGAGGACCGAGCCGCAGCGCACAGAGCCGAGATCAACAGGAAGTGGGGCTGCGAGAAGCTACTTAATGGTAAGAATGAACTGCCAGCCGTGCAAACTGCTGCTGTATCTCCGAGTTCAGCTAGGGTAACGGAAATCTATCTTTGGCTCACGTTTCACTTTCTTGTTGAGCGGGCGGACTTTGGGGGGGATTTCCCGTGAGCCTTCTGGGAGGGGGCAAAGGAAATGAGGTAGAGAATACTTCCTCCTGCCAGAAAAAAAGCTGAGAAATCAGAAACGGGTCCTGGGGACTAAAAAAGCAAAAATATCCAACCCCCTGTGGTTTGGGGCTTTTTATTCAGCTGGTCGTCAGTGGGCTCTGAGAGAACCATGAAAGTGAGAATGAGGGAAGTGGCTGGTGGAGATATGCGTGGGCAGGTGTAGTGTGACTAATGTGTGATCAATGATTTTTCTCTTTCTTTTTCCCCCTCATGACAAGTCACAGTGAAAGGGAGGGTGTGTGAGTGTGTGTGTGTGGGGGGGAGAGAGGGGGATAACTTATTAAAACCAGGGCTTTCCCTTTTTCGAGCGCCCAAACTGACAGGGAGGCACAGACGAAGAGAGAATAAAAGAGCAGGAGAGAGATTAAAGGAAGTGAATAAAGCAGGGGATATTTTGGTTTTATGTTTCCTGCCAAAACCACACAGTGAAATTAGCTTTCACCTTTTTCTAGATAATATCACCCTGGCAACAGCCATGTTTGACAATGAATGCGGTTAGTCGACTTTGTGTCTGTCAGGGCTGTGGTCTGTCTTTTCTTACATTTGTTTTTTCAGGAACTCACTAATCGGATAAGACACATCAATCGCTGTTAAGGATCTTGTATTTGAAATATATGGCCACTTTTGCAACATTGGTTAGATCGACAGTGGCTGTGTATTTAGGAAATAGCCAAATATATAATTTGACTTCATTGTTTCTCAAACCAGGACTGATATAATGGACTGTTTATTCTCAAGGTTTGGTTGTAACACAAATCAGACCCGGCCCACATTCCTTAGTAGTTTGAAATGCTTTGGAATAATCGTTAGGAGGAAATGTATTTCCATTTGGCTATTTAGCAGCATTTTGACATTGTGGTTTCAAGGGCAGGTTTTTCTCACCGTGTAAACATGTAATATAAGAGGCTGAAACCAGACAGTGCCACATTTGTTTAAGGAGATTACTCATAGCAGTGTCCTTGCTGCAGTGAATGAGTGTGCACAAGTTACTATGAAGGTGTTTGTGTGTGAGTGTGTGTTATTTTTTAAATTATTTCCCTTCCTGAGCGAGCAGGCATGCTGCGCTCTCAGACAGCTCTGTGCGCTCATTAATAAACCAACAGAGGGTGAGAGATGGCCTTGCAATACCTTCCCATCCTCCCCCCTTCACTGAGATCTCGTACTATCAGCCAATCACTCTCCCTCTCTCTCTTCCCCCCCCCCTCTCCTCCAGGAGTAGCTGCTTCTCCCCTTCCCCCCGGCCAACTGAAGGACAGAGCTCACCCGCAGGGCCCCTTCTCAGGTGACCGTGGCCTCAAGGAGCCGAGGAGGGGCCCCCCCTCTCCGGCCCCAGATCCGTCCGTGGGAGGCCCCCCTCCTGTCAAGCCCCGTCGCCATAGTGACACGGACAAACCCAAGGGCAAGCGGCCGTGCAAAACCAAACACACCAGTCAGCGGGAGCGGGAGAAACGGAAAGAGGCCACACCTAACAGCCCAGGCCAGCGCTGCACGGCTGATCTGGGAGCAGCTGAGGATGACAAGGTGAGCGCTGATAGGGTGTCTGGCCACGATACGGCCGTCTGGATGTTAGCAGCAGCGGAGTCTGTTTCAGTATGCCTGTCGGCGCCTCTGATTATGCAGCTGGGAGAGAGGCAGGGAGGGAGAGAGGAAGGAAGTATGTTTACAATGTTTAGAGGGCTGCTGGAGCTTTGACCTCCTTGTGCCCTTATCGACTCCCTGCGGAGCGCCTGCATGAATGCATGTTTGTCTCTGGCCTTAATTGTGGAACGTGTGTCATCGACGCTGTTCTGTGTGCGAGTGCGTGCCAAGGCTCTGAGTGTCTGTGTGTTGGAGAGCATTCCTGACATAACAACAAAACCCCTGAGCAATTAGACATCGCACTCAGCGTCGAGCACAAGGCTGCCTATACACACACACACACACACACACACACACACACACACACACACACACACACACACACACACACACACACACACACACACACACACACACACACACACACACCCTCTCATACACACACACTGAGGAATGTGGCAGCCATGGTCGAGCGTATGAAGTGCCGGAGTTCAAAAGAGGGGAAAAAAAAGAAGGCTAGTTGTTTTCCGCCCGCGCTGCTCCGCCCCTGCTCCTCCTCAGCCTGACAGCTGCTTCGACATGGAATTCCACTGAGAGGGCACGCACTTCACTCACACACACACACACTCTCGCATACACACAGGCAGGCAGCTCCTTCTCTCCTGTGTTGCGCTGCGAGGGCTCTGTTGGTTTAGCGGTTAAAGAAAAGTGCTGCGTTTGGGGTGTGAACAGTTGGTGTGAAAGCCGTATGCGTGTGGGTTATTCAATGATGCGTACTGTCTTCAATACAGTAATCATCCAAATAGAAAAATGTATCTTTATTTTAAGCTATATGTTTGTAGTATTTATAATTAAGAAAACATGTTAAGACTAGAGAGGAATTGGCTTTTTGCTGAGAATATAAGTTGAGCTTAATTAAAAAATATATAATTATTTCTGGATGTATTTTTGGCCTAATATTGACAAGTAAACCCAAGTCATACTTGCTTCATTATAAAAATCAATACACTTATGTGAGTTTGAATTAATATACACGCATCTCGACTGTGAATGTGTGTGTAATTTCAAACATGTGCTCTTGAGCGTCCATGTGTGAGTGTGTCCAGTCTGCTATGTGGCTCTAACTCTCTCTCTCTCTCTCTCCCCCCAGCTGAGTGATCAGCGCGGCGCTCCGAGGAAGGGAGCTGCCTCTCCTAATCATTATCCCTGCTCTCCAGTCAAGCCCTGCTCCCCCGCCACGCTCTGTCCGCCCTGCCTGCAGCCCCAGGTGAACGGCAGAGCGTGTGGCGCTGCCCCCGAGCTGGTGGGAGTACACCGGACCCCCCCTGCTGAGCCCCCCGCGGTGCGTCCCATCCCGCCAGAGGCTCGTCGGCTAATCGTGAACAAGAACGCCGGAGAGACTCTGCTCCAGAGAGCTGCGCGGCTCGGCTACGAGGTAATAGGCTTTCCTCATAGTCATCCTCCCTCCTCATCTCTTTTGCTCTTCACATTTTACACTCTTACACTTCATCGTCACTTGCAAATCTTCCCCCTCTCTCTCTCTTCTTAAATTGAGCTCATTTTCTCCCTCTACTTTGTTCCTGTCTGTGACTCTGGCAGACATAATTCGGCTCTTCTTTTCAAAATAGTTTTTTCTTCTCTTGCATCTGTCCTATTCTTCCTCTCTAGCTAACTCTTGCTTTTTGCATTATTTCCTTCTGTTTCACCCTTACTCACGCTTTGTTCTCTGCATACTCCATTTTTTTTTTGTGTTGCTCCTCTTGCCCGCTACGCTCTCTTCTCTCTCAGGTTTCTGCCCCCCCCCCCCCCCCCCCCCTCTTTCCTCTCGGCACTCTTTCTCTTCCTCTCTTTGTGACTCAGATTGTCGTTGGCACCCCTCTTCCTCCTCCTCCTCCCCGCGAGCACACACACACACACACACACACACTCCCCTCCTCTCGCCTCGCTCTGCTCTCACATCTCATTAATTTTCCGTGAGGCGAAGTGTGACACACACGCAGGCACACACACACACACACACACGAGCATGTGCGTGCGCAGACAGCATGAGGGATCGGTGGGATCATTATACGGAGACTGATGCTCGCTGCCTCTCTCCAGCATCAGGAGTTTTTTTTCTTTCTTTGTGTAGCTTCCGATCGTTCGCTCCGAAACCAGATCCGCTCGTTCTCCACACATACAAGAATGAATGAGACCGGTGTATATTCTCCTGAATCTCACAACTCCAATTGCTCGGAAAGCTTTTAATTAAAGTTGGATGGCCCGCTGTCTCGCTCGCATCGTCCCTTGTGTTCCTGTTTATTAGCCTGAGCGTGTCTCCCTCGTTGTTGACAGATTTGACAAATTGATTTATCGATCCAAATAGTTTTTATGCCACTTGAGCTGCAGATTGTGATGTGTCCACCCGACAGTCACTCACCTCTGATGCTATCTGTGTGTGTGTGTGTGTGTGTGTGTGTCTGTCAGTGTGTGTGTATGTGCGCACGTGATCAGTTTTATCACCAGCAGAGGTATCTTCACAGAACTGTAAATAGGTGTGGGTATCTTTTGTTGCTCATTAACCGGTTGCTTTATGGTTTTGTGTGTTTGTTGTACACATTTATGATGATGAGGTGTGTGTGTATATGTGTGTGTGTCTGTGATTATGTGTGAGTCAGAGTGAGAGAGCAAGAGTGTGAATGAGAGGTAAGCACTGGGAGTATAATCGCGTTCTAATGGCCCTCTAATGTGCCGTGGTGACTGTGGTTAGCAGTGGCGGCGGCTGTTTTTCTCCCTTGCTTACACACACACGCACCACACACACGCACGCACACACACACACGCACACACACACGCACAGGGTGCAGCGCAGCACCAGGGTTCAGTCAGCCGTGCTGGAGAGAAGCTGGCTCGTCTCTCTGATTTATGCGTCTCTCGAACGTTTTTTTCCCCTCCCTTTCCTCTTTTTTTTCCGAACCCCTTCACATTTTTCCCTTCCTGCGCTCCGCGTGTGGAGAGAGGGAGAGAGGGAGAGGGAGAGGGAGAGAGAGAGAGAGAGAGAGAGAGAGAGAGGGAGGGAGGGAGGGAGGGAGAGAGAGA